GCAGGGGTGCTTCTAAGATGAAGGGGCCCAAGGACACACAAAGAAATACACACTAATACCAGGGTTCCCCATACGTGGTCCGTATTTTCTGGATGTTCGGCTTCCCCACCCATTGTCCATGCTTCCCCATTTCTTCCGGGGAGGCGTCGATCCATTGTGTCTGTGTTCTTCTTTTTTGGACGCCCGAAATGGGTACGGAAAGAATGGGTACAATGCCCAACAACAAATGTTGTCCCAAACCAACAGCGGCCGCTGTTGGGCAGGCGGCCTTCCCGTCTCAAATGGACACAGGCCGCGGCTGCGTGGACAGCGAGCCCTGTTCAAAATGAACAAGATCCGCTGTTGGGCATTGTGCCCATTCTTTCCGTGCCCGTTGTGTATGTGTGCTGCTTTCCCTCCTGATACGCAGACCCCCGACGTACTGATTTTTTCCTCACGTCGACCCCCAGTGGTCCCGACCCTTTCCCCATGGCCGGCTTTGCGTCCCCAGTCGTTTTTTGACGCTCCCGAGGCCCGGTGGGGGCACCCAAAGGCCGAAAACAGCGAAACACCTCCCGTCGTGATGTCTTCATTGCTCGAGGGGGCCTGGGCCCTCCCCCCCCCTCCAACTTGTCTCCCTCCCGAGAAAAGGAGCCTTCCCCCCGCCCCCAGACGCGCCCTCTGCGCGTGGCCCCCTGCTTTCTCGGCGAGCCACAGGGTGCAGCACCCCGCGGGCCGGCCCGCCTCCCCCTGGTCGCCCCGTGGCCCGGCCTGCCCCGGGCTGTTTCCGGCCGCCAGGCCGTGCCGAGCAGCGCAGAGCAGTGCCAGTCGGTGTCGAGCAACGGTGGTGAGCACTGCACTGAAGGGGGCCCCAGGACACGCAAAGAAATACGCACAAGTGAAGAGATTCCCAATACTTTCACGTATTATCTGGGTTTCTGTCTTCCCCTCCGATTCCCATATTGTCCCATATTTTTGCTGGGGAATCGACAGTGAATCGACAATGCCAAGACAAGGAAAGTCACTGCCAGTCTGGGAAAAGCAATACCAGCCAAAGCAACGCAATGCAAAGCAATGCACACAGCAATGCACACAGCAATGGGAAGCAATGCAAATCAGTGACGTCCTTGGTCAATTCATTGGGAAACTCTCCCCTCATTGAGGTCGCGCCGGGTTCGTTGCCTATGACGCTCGGATGTCTGGGTCACACTCTCAGCCGAAGGCCCGTGGCCTCCGCAGGCCTCACGAGGGCCGAAAAGGGCTCCACATCGTTCGAACACCTCGACCCTCGATCCCCAGGTCCTCGGGCCCAAAGGCCCCCCTACGCACCCTGTCGTGCCCAGAGGTGCGCTGGCAGCACTGTGAAACGGAGAGGACTGGGCGAAGCGACGACCGTGCCACAACACGACAGGAGGAAGAGAAGGCCAAGGGGCAGGTCCCGGCGAGTTGCCGCGAAGGTGCTGCACATCTCGCTGCCGACGAGAAGGGGGGGGGGGGCAGGCGCATCACAGAGGCTTTCCAGACTCCCCCCGCAAGACCCTGAGTCGCAACGATAGAGGGCATTGGCACAGGGGGGGCGAAGGGGAACATCGCCATGGAATCGGCAACGCATCGCCGATAGATCGGCGACATGAGCCCGATAGCGAGTCCGCGCTGGGTGGGCAATGAGGCCAGTCGGCGATCATAGAAGACGAACAAAACGCCATACACATAAACTTTTTGGCGCTCTGCGCGGATTTCTTGGATCCGCGCTGGAACCCCCTCCCTGGCGCGCGGAGCGCGCCAGGGGCGGCGCCGGGGGCGGCGCCGGAGGCGCCGCCGGGGGGCCCAGCGCGGATCCAAAAAATCCGCGCGGAGCGCCAAAAAATTTAGGTTCATGGCGTTTCTTCTTCTTCTTCGACATCAGTGGGCGATTGGAGTCGATATATACCTCCCCCCCCCGCCCCAGAGCGGATGCCCCCCCCCCCCCCAGCGTTGCCCCCCCGGGAGGGCCCCCTGCGCTCCTCGGCCAGCGCGTTGAGGCCCTCCACCACCGACGCGCAGCGCTTGCAGAGCAGGGGGTGGGCCGCGCTCTGGCCGACCTCGCGGCCGCGCCCTCACCGCACGCCCCGCGTGGGCGTAGCTTCATGGGGGTTGTCATAAATGGGGGGGGGGTCATCAACGGTCCCCTTTCATCCCCTTGCGGGCCCCTCCGGAGCCCCAGTGTGCTCGTTTGGGTACCGTTTGGGTACCTTTTCGGACCACCCTCGCCCATTGCGCAACGCCCAACCCTCGCCGGCCGCGCCGCGCCCGCCTGGGGGCTGCTTCAGCGTCAACAAGCAGCATCGCAGGTCACCACCGCCACCAGCATCAGCATCAGCGGCAGCAGAGGCATCATCGCAATAGTCATGCGTAGCATCACCACCATCATCACCAGCATCATCACCATCATCATCGACAGCATCAGTATTATCACCAATCCGCACCAGCATTCCCATCATCAGCAGCATCACCATCACCACCATCATCACCAGGAGCAACAGAATCGTCACCATCATCATCATCATCATCATCATCATCATCATCATCATCATCATCATCACCATCATCATCATCATCATCATCATCACCACCACCACCACCATCATCATCATCATCATCATCATCATCATCATCATCACCATCGTCACTAATATCATCGTTACCGTCAATCATCACCATCATCATCATCATCATCATCATCATCATCATCATCACCGTCGTCATCATCATCACCATCATCAAAATAATCAGTATCATCACCAGCATCATCACCATCAACGTCATCGGCATCATCATCGTCGTAATCGTCATCGTCGACGTCGTCATCATCATCATCAGCATCATCAACATCATCATCATCGTCATCATCATCAGCATCATCATCATCATCATTGTCGTCACATCATCCTACTTAACATCGTCCTCATCATCATCATCATCATCATCAGCATCATCATCATCATCATCATCTTCATCATTATCAACATCGACACCATCAATCATCATCACAACCATCATCAGCAGCAACCATCATCACTACCTCTGCCCGCCGCGCGCACTACCTCCCTGCCCGTCCCCCGGACAAGACCTGCGCTGGGAGGGCGCGGGCGGCTGGGGGGGATCGTGGGCCCCTCGACCCCGCCCCGCCGCGCGCGGCGGCCGCGCCCGCCCGCCTCCTCCCTCTCTCACGGAGGCCTCCCAGATGGGGCCCGAGCAGATGGGGTCGGAGGGTCGCGCCGCAGCGCCGATGCATTGGCGATGCGGCTCGACGTGGAGCCCGATCTTCTTCACGCAGATGTCGCCGATGCACCGGCGATGCGGCGCGATCCTCCGATCCCATGTGCTCGAGGCGCAGCTGCTCGGAGACACCGCGGGGGCCGCCCGAAAAGCCCCCAGAGAGCGCCCCGAACCCAGAGCAAGGCCACACTGCCTGGGCCCTTCTCCGACAGCCCGGGGCCGAAGCCGAACCCCCGGGACGAGGGGGAGAGACAGAAAGAGCTGGCTCAGGGAGGAAGCATCGACCGGAATCTGCGATACGTCGCCGGTAGATCGGCGACAGGCCTCCGACAGCGAACCGCACGCTCCCGGGTGGGGTGGGCTGCTCGGGCCCTGTCGGCGATCAACGGGCGCTCCAATGCGGTGTCGAAGCAGTCTCCCCGTGAGCCTACCCCCTCCCTGACGTTGCTGCTGAGCGAAGCACGGCTGACTCACGTCGCGATGACGTCGGCGCCAAGTCCTGGACCCCACGTGGACCGTTCGGCCCTGAACGATCGCGGTTGTTCGATGACGCGGATCGCTCGATCTCTGCGGATTCGAAGGGGCCCTGGAACACACAAATGCATAGACACAAACAACAGGATTCCCCATATATTTCCTGATATCTTCTGGGTCGTTGTCTACCCCCACCCCCACTTTCCATACTTTCCCATCTTTTCGGGGGAATCGACGACTCCTTGTGCCTGGGTGTTTTTTGTTCCCTCCTGAGCATCCTGGCTAGCCGGCGGTCTTCAACCCTGCACGCCCGGGCTGGGGTGAAGTCGGGCGTGTCCCCCTATCGACGGAAAAATGCAAAAATACCATCGAAATACCCCTTAAATACTCAAAAATATTAAACAAACAAGTTCGTCCCCAGACTATGTTTTTTACTATTTTTGAATCTCCCCCCTGTAGAGGGACAGGCCCGACTCAAGGCTGGGGTCGTCGCCGCGCCCACGCGGCGCGAGCGAGCACGTGCTGCCGCCGCGCAGGCGCGTCGGGAGGGGCGACGCGGCGGCCCCGGAGGAGCGCACGCGGCGCTGTGCCCCAGGGCAGCACCAGGCACGGCACCGGGCGGGAGGTGCGCACGCAGTGCTCCTCCTCCTCCTCCTCCTCCTGCCTGCCCTTGCCATCGCCCGGACGTCCGTTCCCGGTGCACTTCTCGGCGTCGTGCGTGTTTGTGTGTTGGCTCGAGGAGCCAGGGTGCTCCTCCAGGGTCCTCGCCGAGAAAAAAAAAAAAAAAACACGTCCGAGCGATGCCAGGTGCCTGCCCGCCCACGGAACAGTCCTCCTCTTCTGCCTGCCCTGCACGGATAGCACGGGGGCCAGCGGGGTATGGCAGCGGGGTGGCAGGCAGTGGGGCGGCAGGCAGTGGGGTGTGTATTCCTGGGCGCGGCAGACCCTTTGACAGTGGAGGTGGAGGGTGGGCGGGGAAGGAGGACTTGATCGGATCGGCGCCAGTGCCCGGCAAATGCCAGGTGCGCCCACGATGTATTTTGTTGATATTATTGTGGGGTAGGGCGCGTGAGACCGACCTCTCTAGCGAGTGCAGTCAGTAACGTGCGAATGACGCGGCAGGGAACTGAGACGAGGAGAACACGAAGGAGGGCCAGGGAGTCGATGACGAATACGAATACGACGGAGGAAGAGAGGGAGGAGAATGAGGCGGAGCAGCAGGCAAAGGGTGTCCTCCTCCGAGTAAAGCCAACATCTTTCGCACTTGCTGCCCGGCGCCCTCATGACGGTCACCGCGACACCGAGCTCCTTGCACGACGCTAGACATCTGCCCCTCTTGCAAGCATGGGAGAGAGAGAGGAGAAAGGGAGAAAAGGGGGGAGAATGGAGAACATTGAGGAGAGGGTGGAGGAGGAGGAGGAGGAGGAGGAGCAAGAGGAAGAGCAGCTGCAGGAGGACTTGGCGATGAGCGGTGATATGCGATCAGGAGATGGCCGAAGTTACACGTACCATGATGAACGATTGCATGCAGTGGAGGATACTGAGACATCAGGGTGCTAAAGCTTGTCCCTCACACCCAGATTTTTCCTCGGCCCACTGCCCCTCTCCTCCCTTTCCCCCTCGTTCACATTCTCGTCCGCCGCCTCGGCGAGGGCGACGCCGACGTCGACGACGGCGGCGGGGACTGCGGCGACAACGACGACGTTGGCGACGACGACGACGACGAACAGAGGGGGGCCCAGGAGCGAACACTGAGGGGCCCCAATGGAATCTCGAACTGACATGTCGAGCCCCCCGCCCAGGATGACCCCCGAGACCGCCAACAAGCCCGTAAGAGGCCAAGCATTCGGGGATTCTAGCGTTAAGTCGGGCGTGTCCCCCTACAGGGGGATTTCGACGAAAAATAAAAAATACCCCCAAAATAATCAAAACATAATCCAAAAATAGTCAGGGGACTATTTTTTGAATATATGTTGACCATTTGGGAGTATTCTTGGGGCATTTTTTTTATTTTTCGTCGAAAATCCCATTGTAGGGGGACAGGCCCGACTTAATTCTAGCGTTCGATTGGAGGTCCCAAAACCGCGCGGTCACCCGAAATCCCAACTGACTCACCACACGGTGGCCACGGGGCCGCCCCCGGGCTCCTCGCTCGTCGCAGAGGCGGTGCCCTCGGCGCCCTCCGGGGCGCCCTCGACGACCTCGACCGCGGACAGGCCCATGAGTTCCTGCGTCGGCAGGGGGAGGGGTGATCGCCAGCAGGAAGACCAGTGGGAGGGGGAGAAGGAGGAGGAGGAAGAAGAGGAGCAAGGGAAGGAGGCAAAACGAAGAGGATGGTGAATATCAGGTGGCCGGGGAGGAGGCCGGGGCTGCGGGGGCGCGGGCCGCCACTGGCGGCTCGCGGTTACGCCCCATCCCGCTGGGCGGGATGGGGCGTAACCGCAAGGGCCGAAGGCGCGTGTCCATCTTTCCCTCTCCTCCTCCCGCTCCCTCCTCCTCCCTCTTCCTCTTCCTCCTCCTCCTCATCCTCCTCCTCCTCCTCCCCTCCCTCCCCTTTCAGGCATTGTGCCGGCGGCTATGACGAGATGCAGCTGCTGCAATTCCTGGCATCGTTGAAAACACTCTACCGCTTTCTCGAACGCAGCGCCTGCCCACACCATCGCTGAAGGCGCGCATCTCTTCCTCCGCCGCCTCCTTCTCTTTGCCCGCCTCCTTCCCCCTCCATCCCCCCTCCTCATCCTTCTCCTCCTCCCCCTCGTCATTCTCCAAGAGTGAGAAGAGGTAAAGGATGAGATCAGGTGGCCTGTCCTCAAGCTTTTCTATGCACATCGGGAACAAACTCAATTACCCCATCCGTGGCAACTGCAATACGGACCAGAAGGCATGAGGAAACGCCAGAAAAGTCATCACTAACGTCGGTAGCGCATACAATGGAACAGAGACCCGCCCGAGACTGACAATGTCAAAACATGTGCCAAGAATCTGGAAATGCGGGATGTGTACCGTTTGGCCGCAGCAGTGTTGACAACCCTGTAACAGTTAGTGCCAACAACTTCAGTACTGTGGGAAGCACACGAGCAATTACCCTGACCAGGCATGGCGCAGATCAAATCTGGCACACCCACGGTGTGAATGGCCAGCAGCGACGTCGGTGTCCGACACGGGGTGCCACAACATGGCTGATCACGATTGACCAAACCCAACAGTCGCACGGGGCCTAGTGCCCAGCCTGGCCTTTGCTTCTGGAAGCTTCCAAGTGGAGGGCAGGTGGGCGCAGCCGGCATCGGCTCGGCGTTTGACGACACTGGCAGTGCCGACGGCACAGCAAACATGCGCCGTTTGCAACATCGCATGTAACACGTGCTCTCACCATACCTTCTCTCCGTTCCCGCGGGGCATCGACTGGGCAGAGGCCAAGACTCGGGGCCTGCACCCTCCGCGCGGGGGAGGGAAGGGGGGGGGGGGAATTGGCACGGCCTTCGCTCCGCGCGTTGCAGGGCGGCCCTCCAGTCACCCCCAGGGCCTGGCGGACCCGAGGCGAGCGGCGAAACTTCACGACAGGACTCTGAACGGTTGAATCCCCAGCCGCAGGGTCGTTTGCCACGTCTCCAGACAACAGAACAACTGGCCAGCACGTGCTCCTCTTCAAGGCCTCGACGTGCATCTGGATGTCTCCTTCGCGCCCCTGCTCGCGGAAACAAGAACACGTCGATCTCGTTCCCGCAAGAGTCCGAGGGGCCTGCAAATCATCCAGAACAGCACCGCAAATGCGTCTCTCCAACTCCCAAGGTAGAAGCTCGCGCGACGGACGGCAGCGCGACGCCTCCGAGGGCGGGGCCCGCAAGCCGCTCGGGAGGTACATCGGCCGACAACTGCGCCCCACCTCTTGCGCGAACCGTCTTGCCTCTTTCGAGTCCTGGACCCGCGGCGCCACGACCCCTGGCACGCCGAGGAATTGCACGAACGGCAACGAACGGTCTCGCGCGCGCCTGTTCGTATCCACGCGCCTGGCAGAGCGAGCCGGCGGCAACTGGTCCATTAACGTCGCACTGTGGGGGCGTGTGAGCGCTCCATGACAGAACCGCGCCATCTTACTGTTAACCACCTGATCGCAGTCTCGCCACGGGGAGTCGAGATCTGATTTGGACGAACGAATAACGCGAGGCTCGGGTAGACCTCCCTGCTCGCAGATTTGTTTGCAGTCGGGATGCCGCGCTTAAACTTCTGCCAGAGCAACTGATTCAGCTACGGCACTTCGCTCGGCCCCGCTGCACCATGGGAGCCATTGTTTCCCATCGCGCCTGGCCATCTGGATCCACCGCGCGAAGCCCCCAACAGGACGCCAAGCCTTGCGGGCCGTCGCGGGATGTGCCCGCATGGCACACACAGATCGATCAATCCAGCCCAAGAGCCTTTACATTCGCACACGCAAGCAAGCACACACAGAGCAGCCCATTGGAGGCCGAACGGAACACGCGCTGCAAACACAAAGCGCAAACCTCGCAGTGTGAGCACCACGAGAAGGCGACAAACTGCAAATCGAAACAGGAAGCTCCGCGTTAAACCGGCCCGACACCTCGCCGCCCTGCCTTTTTGTATCCGACCGCGGCCCTTCAGGAAGGAGAGAAAGCGTTTCACGGGCGCTCGCCTTGGGAACATTCGGCGGCGCGTTTCGAACCAGGGGGTAGGCCCGGGTAGGCCTCCCCCCCAACTCTCGGCGCCGTCGATCAAAACCAGGGAGACCCCCCTCCCCCCCAAGCCCCCCCCCTCCCGAACCCCCCCCTTCCAGGGTGAGGGTTCAAACCCCCCACCCACCCCACCCCCTCCCAGGACGGGGGGGGGTTCAAAACCCCCTCCCCCCCTCCCCGTCGTCGCCGGCGCCAGCGCACGCAATGGCGGCGGCCAGCAGCGCTCACGGCGGGGACGCAGCAACGATGACCAGAGGCAGCTCAAGGCGAGGGGGAGGGGTTTCACCCCCCCCCCTGGCGCCTGGGGAGGGTGGGGGACCCTCCCCCGTCCCCCCCTCGCGCCGGCGCCAGCGCTGGCGCCGGCCAGCAGCGCCGGCGCTGGCGCCGGCGACGGCGGGGACGCAGCGACGATTACCACCACCACCACCACCACCACCACCACCACCACTGCCTCAACCCACAACCACCACCAACAACATCAGCACCACACAACCACCACAGCCACCACCACAGCCACCACCACAGCCACAACGACCTCCACAACTCACCATCACCACCACCACCACCACCACCACACAAACCCACCGCCACTACCACCACCACCGCAATCTACCACACCACCACCACCACCGCCACAACAACTACCACCAGCACGACCTACCGCCACCACCACAAACCACCACACCACCATCACCACCGCCGCCACCACCACCACCACCACAACAAACGTGCACAAACCACCGCCACCACCACAACCCACCACCACCACCACCAGCACAAACCACCACCACACCACCACCGCAACCACAACCACCACCACAACTCACCATCACCACCACCAACACAAATACCCACCACCACCATCACCACCACCAATCTACCACACCACCACCACCACCGCCACAACCACCACCACAACCCGCAGCACAACCCACAACCACCACCACCACAAACTACCACACCACCACCACCACCGCCGCCACCACCACCACCACCACCTCCACTAACCACCGCCACAACCACAACCCACCACCACCATCACCACCACAAACCATCACCACACCACCACCACCAAACCACAACCACCACAACCACCACAACCCGCCACCACCACCACCATCAACACCACCACCACAAACCACCACCACAAACCACCACCAAACCACCACCACCACCACCACCCACCGCCACAACCAACACCACCACAACAAACCACCACACCACCACCACCACAACCACCACCACCGCTACCACCACCACCACCACCACCAGTACCACAACCCACCACCATCACCACCACCGTCGTCTTCGTCGACGCTCCCCGCCACCGCCGCCCGCCGCCGCAGGCGCTGGCCGGCGCCGTCTCAGAAATGGAAAACGTCGTACCCGCCGCCGTCACCAGCCGCCGGTGACGCAAGCGCCAGCCCGAGGAGAAGGGAAGCAGGGGGGGGGAGGGAACCCCCCCCCTCGTCACAGGAAGGGGGGGGGAGGGGGGTTCGAACCCCCGCCGTCGCCAGCCGCCGCCGACGCAAGCGCCGGCCCGAGGAGACGGGAAGCAGGGGGGGGGGGGGTTGAACCCCCCCCTCGTCACAGGTCCAGTTTCACCCCCCCCCCCCTCCAAGCGACCACAGAACGCGCTCTTTCTCAGGAAAAATCAGCACCTTCCAAGAAGGTCTGCTTCCCCACTGACAGCTTGGCCCAAGCGGCACCATGGAACAAAACCCGCCTGCGGCAAATCACAGAAGCAAAATCAAGTTTGGGACCTTGCCCGAAGAATGCTCTACGTTTGAAAACGGCACATGTTAACCAACCTAACGCGTTCAACTGCTACCGAACATGGCGCGCCAGCTCAGCATTCATGCTACCGCGATCATGAATCGTTGACCCTGAATGCTTGCACATCCGAGCAACACAGACACGTCTTGCTGGACCTCTGAAACCTTCAAGCGGCCTCCAAGGGCCCCAAAGCGACGACGGACGGTCTCCCCCCCCGACATAACGCAAGAAGGGGCGTTGAGCGACCCCCCCAAAACGTAACCCCGCGCGTTAATTTCTTCGTTGGCAGCGGTCGCCAACGCCTGCCAGCTGCAGAAAATCGCGCGCATTAGCAGAAGCCTGCACCACAGCAGGGCCATCAACGTACGAAGGTGCGCCAATAAGAACATCCAAGTCGGCTCCTGACCCACGGAACTGGCGCCCAACATCTGGGGCAACACTTGCGGCATCAATTGTAAAACCTTCCGCCTAGCAGAACTCACCCGAACCCGATCATGGACAGGTGCGCTGGCAACCGCGAACGCACAGTCGCCAGCGCCCGTTGCGGCGCGAGCAACTGCGCTGCAACCTTGACATTGGAATCAGGAGCAAGAGCTAACACCCGTGATCATGTCACGGAAGTGCCAGCTACCGACTTGTTCAAAAATCGCGGGCTGCGCCAGCAGCTGGCGCACCGCGCCTTCCATGGCAAAGGGCAGCTTGTTAGTCAACCAGACCCCCATTCACTCGTCTACAATCTGGCACCTTGACCATGGATTCGCTGA